GTGCGAGGTGAGTAACAGTATACAGTGTCTATGCTTGATTTGAGGTGGTTACTGACTACATCAGCACCGGGATCGGAGTCGCATCGCTCTTCATTCGCGAGTAGACTATTATTTACGTGTACATACAAGTATAAATGATATATAAACGATATATATTGTTCAGATCTATACTATGGTGTAGTATACAAGACTGTACGCAGCATGAGAGAATGTTGTACCGATGTAAGCAAGGCACTGTACATACAGTCCTGTAATACGGATACGTAACAAACAAGGCGGTGAGACGGCCCCACGAAATAGGGCATTTCCTCTCCACAATGCGGGGACCAAGATCCTTGTTCGCTCTCTACAATGTGCCAGCAGGTTCCTGGGTAGACAATTATTTCTCATGAGCGAGCTACAGGCAGTGTCTAGTACCTGGCGCAAGAATATCCATCGCCGTGCTGCTGTCATCTATGCAATACTCAGGGTGATGGAGGGCTTCCCCGCATCAGACGGCCCCACAAAACGAGTTGGAGAAGTGCAGGGGGAATGCCGACGTGGGGGTCATTCGAAGCTTTCAGGTATGTTGACAATTGAATTATGGAAAAATACTAACAGAGACAGCTGCGTATGTTGTTTACACTGTTGGATAGCGTGGTACATGTCGTTGACCAGTATGTAGGTGCATACTGTACAGACATCCTGCGTGTACCCACCTTGCCGGATTAGGGCATCTTAGCTGCTACTCGCTGCTGTCCAACGTGTCAACCGTCAATTGACTGTTCTGTCCAACACAAGTGACCTTCTCGCTGCTCGAGATTCCTTATTGCCATCATGTCCTCCGCCCTCTTCGCGCAGCTCCTCCGTCGCCGGTTACCGTCTGCGCTGCCCTCACTGCGCGTGCCGGTTCGCATCTCTCCTCCGCGTCTTGCTGTCCAGATCCAGAATTTCCGTCCCTCGCAATCCCGCCTCATGGGGTCCGTCAGCGCCATCGATTCGAGTATTTTCCGCACGCTGTTTGGCACGGAGGAGATCCGGCAGGTTGGTACAGTACAATCCGACTGTGGATGCCTGGCAGATTCTGACTGACTTGGCAGGTCTTCAACGATGAATCCTACATCAAACGCTGCGTCGAAGCCGAGGCCGCCCTCGCCCGCGCCCAGTCCAAGTGCAACGTGATCCCCGCCGAGATTGGCGCCCTGGTGACGCAAAAGGCCGACGCGTCCAAGCTCGACCTCGAGCGCCTGCGCCGCGAGACCGAGATCGTCGGCTACCCGATCCTGCCGCTCGTGCGCCAGCTGTCGGCCCTCTGCGGCGACGAGGCCGGCAAGTACGTGCACTGGGGCGCCACGACGCAGGACATCATGGACCTGGCCAGCGTGCTGCAGATGAAGCAGGGCCTGGCCATCGTCGAGCGCCTGCTCCGCGACGTCATCCGGACGCTGCGCGGGCTCGCTGAGAAGTACCGCGACACCC